GTAGCAGGTGTTCCTGAGTTCTCTGGCCCTTAATGGTTGGCTGCACACAAGATGCTTTAAGGCAGCAAATTAGAAAACCTTCGAGGGTCCAATCCTAGAGTTGGTAGGCTAAGCAAAACAACCGAAAGTAAATAAAAGTAATAAAACCCAGTGCTAGTGAAGTTCTGGGGGAATGGGACACATTGCAGGAGGGTATGAAGGGGTTTGTCTTTCCCAGAGAGCAGTCTGGCAGCTCTGAGTCAGTATGCGGCCTCTGAACCAACATACCCACTGCCGGTTTAAAACTGGCTACAGGGCATCTGTCTGGGAGGGGAAACATAATTTATTACAAAGAAGTACACAGCACTACTAGTTAGACTAGGGATGTTTGCCTGGAAGCAGAAGATTACCCAAAAAAGCGCCACTGCTCCAGGCCCAGAATGGTAAGTATCCTGGGCCACACCTGGGCCAGGATAGCTGACTAGTGCTGATCCACATGTTTAATCCCTAGACTTCAAGCTGCGATCAGCATAATTAGGAATATTTCGCTGGTCTTCGTAGAGCACCACCCAGGAGAAGAACTTGATAGGATAGTGTTGTCAGTGTGGTTAGAAGCTAGTGTGTTGAACAGGCATGGAGGGGGAAGAGTCTGAGAAGGTGACATAGGAGTTTGCTAGGTGGACAGAGGAAGGTAGGAGAGTGTTCCTAGCAGAGGGGATAGCCTGGGTAAATGCACAGTGACATTAAGTACATTACTTGCACAGAAAGGAAAGTGAGGCTCAGTGAGAGCTGGAGCAGGAGTTTCAGATAGCCAGAGGCCAGCAGGGGTGATGGTAGCAGAAACTGGTGTTCCCCACTACCCTTAGCTCTTTGGTCCCCTGTGCTAGGTACTGGAGCTGGTACAGGCCTTGATTTTACATTGAAGGGCTTCTAGACAGGACTGGGAGCTCTGGTGAAGTAGTGCCTAAGGCATTTGACTGTTATAGAAGGCTGGTGGTTCAAACCCCCCAGCCACTCCTTGGAAGGAAGACTGGGAAATCCACTTTCATAGTGATACTGCCTCAGAAACCCAAGGAGGGGTCGCTGTGAGTAGGAGTTGACTTGATGGCAATGAGTTTGGTCTGGTTTTAGACAAGGCCTGGCCTCTGATCTGGTGAGGCATGTGACAATGGGCCTGAGGGTGGTGGTCTGCAGGCCTCTGGGGGGGCGGGGCTGGAGCTAGGCCATCTGGACTTCAAGCATCTCATCCAGTCTTCATTCCACATTCATTGGTTGAGCTGGGCCAAGTGGTGACAGCAAAGTGGTAGAGCCAGACGAGGCCAGGGGTGAAGAGTGTGGGTGTGAGTCTGCAAACTGGGACTCCAGCTTGGCAGTTGTGGTGCCTTGGGCACACGGCTTCCCTCTGAACCCATTTCCTCATCTTCAAAAGGCCCCTTGCCCAACTCATTCCAGGAAAAGCCAAAACATACCTGTGCCCCCGGGCAGCTGGGAGGCATAAAAGGCAACCTTATGCACCTATTGCATCCTTGACCAGCTGGGGACACATGGAGCAGCACTCACCTGCCGCTTCAGTTCCCTGGAGGTGCTTGCCTCATCCTTGCTCTGTGACCTCCATAAGCACCAAAGGTGGTGAGCTTAGGAATCCATGAGTCACTGTCTCAACCTTCCTGCTGTGTGGTGGTAGTGCCAATGTACACTGCGTACCATTCACTGTTTGTGCAGCCTTGTGGTCTGTGTTGCATGGAACAGTTTGCAAATCCCTTGCAGGCCCATTCCCTAGAGAATCAGTGTTGATGTCCTTGGCTCAGGCAACAATGACAAATCTGAATGGAATCCCAACTCCTTGGATGCTTCCTTGGTACCCCTGGCTTCTCACTGTGCCTCTATCACCCTAAGCCCCAGGGCCTTTGCATCCATCTGTTATCCCTTCTTTCCAGAAGGCTCTTCCTTCTTTCCTGGATCCTTCCCTCATTTCAATCAAGCTCCACTCAGATGTCCTCTGAGATCTTTGCCTGGCTCCTCTCCCCCTGCCATGGCCCATCACACTTGCTCTTAATTTCTCCACTGTGTTCATAGCTACTTGCAACCACATTTATCTTTGTATTTATAATTGTTGATCTCACTCATTGGGACACAAGCTCCATGAGGGAAGTTTTCAAGCTATTCAGCTGTTTCCCTAGCACCTGACACAGGCCTGTCACACAGTAGACATTTTGAAAATGGTAGGTGTTTTCAAATAGTGGGCTTTGTGGACCAGGCTGTGTAGGGTAAGGTGGTGAGCTACCTGTCCAAGGAAGTAGGTGAGCAGAGTTTGTTTGCGATTCAAGGCCTTTGAACAGTTGAGCTCATAGGGTCCCACCGCCCTGTTAGTCTCAAGGGCTCTGTGATGGTCAGGGCTGGGCTCATGCAAGGTCGTGGTGTGAGCCCCTTTCATGATGTCCATGGGCTTCAAGGAATAAATGAGCACTGTTTGCCCTCAGAGGGAGGTTTGAAGGTAAAGCCAGGGAAGGAGGTGGAAGGGGGGTTCAACTTTCCTGTTGGACCCTGATAGAATCAGGGCAGGGCATAGAGGAGGAGGAAGAGGGAAAAGGAAGGTTACCTGGACTTAACATGCCTGGGGGGAGGTGAAGGATGGTCCCACTGAGGCCCATGTCTGTACCTCCTCTCTCTCCCAGAGTCCAGAGACTACCCTAGGAACCAGAGGTGCTTTTTGAATATTTGCTGCAAGCCCAGTGTGTGACTGACAAAGTGCTCAACTGCCCTGAGAATGTACCATCATTCTGGAGACATTTGTCTTACTGTGCAGGACTGCAGCTGTGGTGAAGCAAAGGAGGCACTTCCTGAGACTTGGCATCCCAGGCGCCTCCCTGCCTCACCCTCCTCTGGGCCTTTGAAGAGCCCTTCAAAAACAAAATCCCCATTAAGGACTTGTGGAGCTCTGACATGAAGATTTCAGGCAGTTTGTGCCTGTCCTTCCAGTTCTAGATCATTCGCCTCGCTGGGGAGGAGCAGGCTTTGTGCTTTACACATTTGCTCTTCTAGACCTCCTGCCCCCCAGACCATCGGGTAGAGGCTCAGGGAGGCCCAGGACCACATTGTAAGTCTGGGGAGAGGGTGACAGCCCTGTGTGTGGCCCTCCCCTCCCCCCTGGGGAGGTTGGGAGGTAGACACTCCACCAGCTGTGCCCTGGTGCACAGCTTTTGCAGCTGCAGATCTGGCTCCTGGAAGAGAGAGATGGGAACCCAAGTTGGGGGCAGTGAGATGGGGGCAGGGAGGTAGGTCAGACCCTAAGTTTCTGGGGGTGGCAGGCCCCTCCACATGCCACCTAGTACATAGAGGCCCCCAGCTTGTCTTCCTATCTGTATCTTTATTCAGGTTGCTCCTCTGCCTGATACCCTGTTGCTCCTGGTTGCCAAGTCTCAGTGATGAAGGAATGAAGCTAAAGATCTGCCTTTGGGACACACAGGTCTGAGTGATGAGGCCTGGGGTTCAACCATCAATCAAGGCCTCATTCCTGCCTTGAGTTCTTTGTGTGAGGCCAGGCAGTTTTTTTTTCTTTCTTTTTTTTTTTTTT